AAATACAATCATACTCTATGCCCAGGGAAGTCGAGAAATTTTCAACCCCGAAAAATCTTAGACCGGATCGGGAATCGAACCCAGCCACCTCCAGCATGCTCTTGCTTTGTATCTGCGCTTATGCTTACTGAGCTAAGAGGCACCCGTGGTATTTAAATATACTTGACCTTTCCAGAACACGGGCACATTGTCAATTATACTACGGCTACCGATAATACTTGGACATCAAATTTCATCGAATACCCCATTTCATTTGTAAACGTTCTACATGCTTCCCAAGTAACATTGCAAGCTTTATAGAGGTTTTATAGCATACTACAATTCTAAGTCATGGTTTACAGAACCTTCATAAAACCAAAATTGTTACTTGGGATGTCTCCTGCTGATCATGTGTACCTGTACCTCTCTGCACAGTTCGAAAAACTAGTGTAAATTTCTGTTCAATATGATGCACATAAATAGAGCGTCACATATCATATACGTTTACATTATATATCATGTAAAGTTCTGACGCATTACATGCAATGTAGCAAATAACGCTCGATTCAAAGTAAATCTGGACGCACGCACCCCTGGTGGTTGGAACAAAAAACGTTTGACAGGCATTTGTTGATGTTTTATTGACGAAGAAATTGGTGAAAAGTTTTTCTCGAGTGATCGACGCATCCCGAAATTACGGATCATGGAACTTGAGAAAAGAAAATTAATTGTGCACAAACATCTAGAGAACTATTCGTGGTCTGCCTCAAAAATAGCAAAAGCGTTAAAATTCCCAAAAGTCAACGGTGAGTCTTGTAATCAAACGTTACAAGGATACTCTGAGTGTGGATAGAGCACAGCGCATCTATTGTAAAAGTGGCACTACGGACAAAGAGCTGAGGAGAAAGGTGTTGAGGTACGTGAAAAGCAACCCAGGTGTCTCCATACGTGGTTTGGCAAGAAATACGATTCCAACTTTTCCACCGTGCGTAACATCCTTTCAAGAGAAGGATATAAGTCTTTTTGTGCCAAATGTAATGAAATGTGAGAACTTGTTATATATCATTTGAAAGCTGAATAAATACCCTTTTGTTTGACGTTTTGATCAACCGTGTATGTTGTTTAATTCTTGAGTTATGATCACTTGAATGCGTCCAAATTTACTTTGAATCGGGCTTTATTGTATACAAAATCCCATCTTTGTGAACAACATTGTTTAGAAGTTGCTCGGTTGCGTGAGATGAAATACAAGTTTACGTGAATGAATGTTTGCATCACAATTAAAATTCAGAATTTTTATCTGGGTAGTTTGTGCCTACTTTCATCATTAAACAACATTTTGAGATCCTGTAGCCTTCTAAGTTCTCCAAAATGTCCGACTTACTTGACTCAGCATCCGAGTTTTGTAAAGCTGCATGATAACATGCACGCTATAGAATGGTAACAAACCATTATGGAGTTCAAATCTTGAAGATCTACAGGCTCAATAAAGTCTTGTCCTGAAAATCTTTATGATTCCCTGAAGCTCAAGAGAGCCTCTTGACGACAAGGACATCATGGATTGGTATCATTAAGAAATTTATTGCTCTCCAAAGTATTCTGGAGTTATGATCTTGAAAATCTACAGACTCAAGGAAAGTTTTGAAGAATGTACTGAAAATTTTCATGAGTCCATGAAGCTTAAGAGAGCCTCTTGACAACATGCATATGATAAAATGGTAACAATAAGATTTAATGTTCGCCAAATCATTAAAGAGTTCAAATCTTAAAAATCTACAGGCTCAATAAAGTCTTGTTCTGAAAATTTTTATGAATCCCTGAAGCTCAATAGAACCTTTTGACAACATGCATATTAGACTGATGCAAAATTTGAAATTTTCGCTCCACAGTGCTCAAACGGCTTCAAATCAGGTCCTGATTAGCCTCTCAAAATTTAAACTCATTTGGTAAGAAACTGACTTGGCACAAATCATTCGAAGTTTATATGGAAATTACTATGGGAAAACCAAACTTTTTGTTCATTGTCTTCTACCCATTTTCCATATTGCTTTTTCGAAAATTTCTATAACTAATCTTACGGGAAATTTTCTAAGCTACAACTTTGCCGAAAATTGTTTTACAACTAAATGTTAAACTAAATAGTTATTAATTGTTTAAGAGATTGATAATCTTATGGCATGATCAAGCAGCTGTTCTGTCGGCAGCACTGTCTTATGCAATGTGACATAGTAGCCATGATTTTTATGCTCAATTCTACGTGTCAGAAACACAAATGGTGCCTGCTGAACAGTTGAATGAGCATAATCATAAGACATCAGTGACTTTAAACATTAATAACTTTTGTTCCGTGCATTTGATTGAAACGTAGTTTTGAAAAAAAATTGTAGCTGAGAAAATTTGCCACAATCTCTGTTATCATTTGTAAAAGCACAGTGATGTGGTGAATCGATAAATAAATATAAACAAAAACATAAGTTTTCCCATAGTAATTCCCATATAAACTTGAAATGGTTTGTGGCAAGTCAGTTTCTTACTAAAGTAGTTCAAATTTTGGGAGGCTAAGCAGGACCCAATTTGGAACCGTTTGAGAACTGTGGAGCGAAAATTTCAAATTTTGCATCAGTCTAATGCATATCATGGATTGGTAGCATTAACAAATGTATTGCTCTCCAAAATATTCTGGAGTTATGATCTTGAAGATCTACAGACCCAAGGAAAGATTTGAACAATGCACTGAAAATTTTCATGAGGCCATGAAGCTTAAGAGAACATCTTGACAACATACACATCATCGAGTGACATCAATAAGATTGTTAATGCTTTCCTAACCATTCAGGAGTTCAGAACTAGAAGATTTACAGATTCAATGTGGACTTGAACGATATTCTGAGAATATTTTGCTTTATTATTTAGGCAGTTGGTGTCTTGGGATAACTTTTTGTGCTTGAAAAGTCCCTTCTTTGGCTCATTGTAAACATGAGGATGGTCCTCAAATTAAAGGATATTGAAAAATTAACTTTCTTTATTTTTGACAATTAAAACAATTGATTTGAGTAAAGTTGTAGCTGTGCTAATGTTATGCAACTTTTAATCGGACACATTTTTTCCATCTCTTAACGTTCTCATTTTAGAGCAAATTTTTTGAATTGAATCGGGGGTACCTGGAAGATTTAATTTTTAGCTAAAATCTTATGTTTCAAATTTCTCGTGAATATCGTCTGCAAGAAATATTGTTTCTCAATACCTTCAAAATTTAAAATTCATCAAAGCTTAACTTAGTCCAAACCCGAGATCCCAAAATAAAATTTCTGACAGTTCACAACGGTCACAAATTACTGCAAAGTAATTAGAGCGGAAGCGGAAAGGCAGCGGCAGTGGAAAATCCCGATCTGAGTAAACCTATTTGTGGGATTGAAAACTAGTTAGAACCAAATCGACTTCAGTTAGACATCTTGATGTAATTTGTGACAATTGTCAAACTTTCCGTTTCCGTTCCGCTTCTGCCCACATTGTGTTTGGGCCTTTATGCGCGTGTGGAAGTTTTTGATTTTGTCTACACCGTATTATTCAAATGGGAAGTTCCACATCCATTACCATCCCAGACCATTTTGTCTAAAACAGCGAGAATTTGATGGAAGAGGTATGAAAACAACTTTTAATATAGCCATGTGGGTCCTAATTGGTAAAGCTTTCTACTCCGGAATCCTGAAACAGGTTTCAACTGGACCTATTTGTGAACAATTCCATTTAATAATCAAAATATTCAAAGTGTTTTGTAGTTATTTCCTACGTGAAGTTTACGATTTTCAGGGTTCGTTGGAAATGCCATACTAATATCAATATGAAGCTTTAGTGTGATAATTTATTAACTAGAGAAATTACGGCAGTGTGAAAATTGAATAGAATTTAAAATTGAGCAAAGGGCCAATAATGCGACAGTACTAGTTAAATGCACACTCATTTACCTAACCCATACATTAATTAATGAGGGGACTTGGTAGGCCTGCCCAACCATTCTAAACTTGCTTTTTAAAATGGCTATATCTTTTTTTCGATGCACATTTTTCTAGCTGCATTTTGCTTAATGCTTATCTATTCTGAGCTAAACATTCATAATGATGAATAAAATTGGACTAGAATGAAATAATTGTGGCGATCCAGATACCACATCCGGCCCACGGACCGCACGTTGGGCAGCGCTGCACTATAGCTTCATGTTGATATTAGTATGGCATATTAATCGAAATAAAAATATGCCGTATGACGTGTGAAACTTTACGATTTTTAAAGAAAATCATAGTTGACTACTTCCGGGTACGTTATTATTTGATTAGCTTTATGTCACCCGGCTTAAACGATCCTCGGTCACAGTTGTTGTCTGTGATGATGTACGGAGCTCGGTGGTCTAGTGGCAACCGTTTTTGCTTTCAGATACTAAGTTTATAGGGTTGCATTAAGGGTGATACATATATTATATCATGCTCTAAGGGTGGGGAGGTGGTGTAAGATTTTGTGACATGCAATGCATTAAATATAAGAAAATTTAATTATGAGAATTTATTCTGTTTGTCTTATAAAGCTCGCACTGCAAATTATGTCTTCTAGCAACTCAGTGATCCCTCCCATAGTTGTTACTGAATTTCCTAAACCTTAATTTGGTGTGTAAGCAATGAAGTTGATGAGCGAAAGATAGCTGAAACTATTTTCATCATTGATTTTAACGTGATATGAAACAAAATTGGCTCCATGCGATGAAGCATCGTGCAACTCTATTATCGCATTCAATGTGTCTAACCTAAGCGCAAAACCAAACCGGTAACGTGCCAATCTAAACTCCACCCAATTTGGTTATCGACGTACATGTGGTGTGGTGGCCACGCAAATGCAATTTGCTTTTATTTGCAATCGTACCACAATTCATTCGTTCACTATTTCAGAATACCAGTTCCAATTGGCTACCATCCGATTTATCTATCTATTACCATCTATCTCTCTCTCTCTCTCTCTCTATCTACCACTAGGTCTGATCGTGTACTTGGGCGTGAAATTCGTGAACAAATTCGCAACCGTTGCGCTGGCCTGTGTCATCTTCTCCATCATTGCGGTCTACGCCGGTATCTTCACCAACATCGATGGCAACGATAAACTATTGTAAGTGTGATACTGTTTATTATTGGGCAGTCTATGTGTGGGACGTGTTCCGGGTTTTTTTTTTTTTTTGAGCAAAAAGGGACTCCGCCGTTTGTGAAACTGATTCGATAGAGGGAGCTAAAAATGGAGTACCTACGTGATACAGGAACGTTGGGAATGGCAATTGCATTTATGGTTATTTCGATTTGATTTAACGGGAAATTTGATCCGCGTGGTTGCAATGCGACATTGTTACCCGGTATGGATTTTTTTTTGTGAGAGAGAAAATTCGCGAGATTCAAATTGATCCGCGATAGGCGATTGTTGATGTTTGGTGGTAGGTAGGTATGCAAATCATGTTGGCTAGATATATATGATCAGGGAAGTGGCACCCCTATTTCTACTAATAACAAATAGCGAGCATAACGTCTAGCTTTGATCGCTTTTTCTTCAATTGTTTATGCTGCCTACGAAAGTATGGCGGCCTGCCAGTTCCTCGTATATGATACATTGATATACAGGTGCCACAGTTCAACGAAATATTAATTGAAGGAGGCAAATTGCTTTTAGAAATAACCTGGAAATCTACTCAGTATCACCTTTTTGATGAATTTTGAGAATCATCAACCCATCGAAATAAACATCACAGCATCATTAAGACTTAAAAAGGTCTGCTATCCAGGGACATAGCGAGGGAGTGGCGAAAATGGCCCCCTTCAAAAGCAACAAATCAAAGGAACGAATTCAAAAAGGATATTAATTTCAATGACATTTAATAAATGGGCGAAATTCCATATGCATTCTGCAGACAACTCCTAGGGAATTCTGGAAAGTATTCTTATAAAACTTCCGTTGAGAATTTTGTAATTGTAATATTTAGTAATTTTGAAAAGTATTCGATGGGCTTTCCGAGAAAAACTTCAGGTTAATTCTTTGGAAAATGCACAGTTTGAGGAGAATTCCAATGGGATTGTAAGGAGAAGCCCAGAAATTTTCTTAAGGAAATTCTGAGCAAGATTTCAATGGACCTCTGAAGACAATTCAAATAATAATTCCTGATCATAATTCCAAGAAAATTCTGACTAGGACTTCAAAAAATTCCTGATATTATTTCCATAAGAATTGCGATAATAATTCCAAGGAAACCTGAATTTGAAAACAGTTCCAATGGAACTCTAAGTAGAGAATTAATTTTTGAAGAACTTTACCAAAAGCAGATTTATTAGTGAATGGTGAGAATTCATAAGGAGTAGTAGTAGTAATAGATATGAATAGAGTTCTACGGTAGTTCTGGCCCAGAAAACTCACCGGGAAAAGGGAATTCCGGGAAAACTCTGAAAATTAACCTGAGAAGATTTGCAATTGTATGCACTTCAGATATAGTTAAAATATTTTCCTATTTTTGAATTACTTTAAATTTGGGAACATTTAACGGAATTTTAAAAATGTTGGTTTGAATATTTAATTTTAACATTGTGGACCTGGGACTTGTTGACTTGGAGACTGGAAGTTCTCGTGAAATGGCTTCCAACTGCATTTGGAAGTGTCTTCCAACTGCCTTTAGAAGTGTCTTCCAACTGCCTTTGGAAGTGTCTTCCAACTGCGTTTGGAAGTGTCTTCCAACTCCCATTGGACGTATCTTCCAACTGCCTGTGGAAGTGTCTTCCATCTACGTTTAGAAGGGTCTTCCAACTACTTGTGAAAGTGTCTTCCAACTGCCTTTAGAAGTGTCTTCTTACTGCCTTTGGAATTGTCTTCCAACTGCCTTTGGAAGTGTCTTCCAACTGCCTTTGGAAGTGTCTTCCAACCTCCTTTGGGACTGTCTTCCAACTTCCTTTGGAAATGTTTTCTTACTGCCTTTGGAAATGTCTTCCAACTGCTTTTGGAAGTGTCTTCCATCTGCGTTTAGAAGGGTCTCCCAACTGCCTGTGGAAGTGTCTTCCAACTACTTGTGGAAGTGTCTTCCAACTGCCTTTAGAAGTGTCTTCCACCTGCATTTTGGAAATGTCTTCCAACTGCTTTTGGAAGTGTCTTCCAACTGCCATTGGACGTATCTTCCAACTGCCTGTGGAAGTGTCTTCCAGCTGCCTGTGGAAGTGTCTTCCTACTGCTTTTGAAAGTGTCTTTCAACTGCCTTTGAAAGTGTCTTCTAACTGCCTTTGGAAGTGTCTTCCAACTGCTTTTGGAAGTGTCTTCCATTTGCGTTTAGAAGGGTCTCCCAACTGCCTGTGGAAGTGTCTTCCAACTGCCTGTGGAAGTGTCTTCCAACTGCCTTTAGAAGTGTCTTCCAACTGCCTTTGGAAGTGTCTTCCAACTGCCTTTGGAAGTGTCTTCCAACTGCCTTTGGAAGTGTCTTCCAACTGCTTTTGGAAGTGTCTTCCATCTGCGTTTGGAAGTGTCTTCCAACTCCCATTGGACGTATCTTCCAACTGCCTGTGGAAGTGTCTTCCATCTACGTTTAGAAGGGTCTTCCAACTACTTGTGAAAGTGTCTTCCAACTGCCTTTAGAAGTGTCTTCTTACTGCCTTTGGAATTGTCTTCCAACTGCCTTTGGAAGTGTCTTCCAACTGCCTTTAGAAGTGTCTTCCACCTGCTTTTTGGAAATGTCTTCCATCTGCGTTTGGAAGTGTCTTCCAACTGCCATTGGAAGTATCTTCCAACTGCCTGTGGAAGTGTCTTCCAGCTGCCTGTGGAAGTGTCTTCCAACTGCTTTTGAAAGTGTCTTCCAACCTCCTTTGGGACTGTCTTCCAACTTCCTTTGGAAATGTCTTCTTACTGCCTTTGGAAGTGTCTTCCAACTGCCTTTAGAAGTGTCTTCCAACTGCTTTTGGAAGTGTCTTCCAACTGCCATTGGAAGTGTCTTCCAACTGCTTTTGGAAGTGTCTTCCATCTGCGTTTGGAAGTATCTTCCAACTGCCATTGGACATATCTTCCAACTGCCTGTGGAAGTGTCTTCCAGCTGCCTGTGGAAGTGTCTTTCAACTGCCTTTGAAAAAGGTCTTCTAACTGCCTTTGGAAGTGTCTCTCAACTGCCTTTGGAAGTGTCTTCCATCTGCGTTTGGAAAGGTCTCCCAACTGCCTGTGGAAGTGTCGTTCAGCTGCCTATGGAAGTGTCTTCCAATTGCCTGTGGAAGTGTCTTCCAATTTCCTATTGGAAGTGTCTTCCAATTTCCTTTTGGAAGTGTTTTCCAATTTCCTTTTGGAAGTGTCTTCCAATTTTCTTTTGGAAGTGTCTGCCAATTTACTTTCGGAAGTGTCTTCAAATTTCCTTTTGGAAGTGCCTTCCAATTTCCTTTTAAAAGTGCCTTTCAACTTCCGTTTGGAAGTGTCTTCAAATTTCCTTTTGGAAGTGTCTTTCAATTTCCTTTTGGAAGTGTCTTCTAATTTCCTTTTGGAGTTGTATTCCAAATTACTTTTGGAAGTGTCCTTCAATTTCCTATTGGAAGTGTCTTCCAGTTTTCTTTTGGATGTGTCTTCCAAATTACTTCTGGAAGTGTCTTCCAATTTCCTTTTGGAATTGTCTTCAAAGTCGCAGTAAACCCTCCCTACGCCTCTCCTGCTATCAAATAAGATCCTCCTAAGAACTTTCTAATGAACCAATTTGAACCAACGTGCCCCAGAACCATGGAACGCCCGTGAAAGAGCTAATCCAAACGCAGAAAAAGTTCACCATTTCCCCATAATTTTCCAGCATGTGCGTTCTCGGAAAGCGTCTTCTGAAGGATATTGCCGTTGACAATTGCACCAAGGAAGTGGGCGGCCCGTTGTATACAACTTTCTGTCCCGAGGGCGACTGTGATCCATACTTCCAAGGTAAGCAAGCGACCTGGTGTCGTTATGATTGTAAATTCCTCATCTCCCCCATTTTCTGTCTCTTTTCCCAGAACATAACGTATCGCTGGTGCGGGGCATCAAAGGTCTCAAGAGTGGCGTATTTTTCGACAACATTTTCCCATCGTTTTTACAGGTGAGTTAGCATTTCGTTGTACAGCTGATTCTTTCATATGGGCGAACGAATGACAGCGTGGATAAGCTTCAGAGAAACATGATGCAACACAGAAGAAAAGTTTTTTTGTCGCTTGCAAGCCACCTATCCAATAAAAATTCACGTGATGCGAAAAGTCAGGCTTGATGAAACTCCTAGAGTAAGAGCGTGTGAAAGAAAACATGAAAATGAATGGCACCGAACCTCACTCCCGTTTATTCCCCCTTCGCTCACAATCTGCGTGGCTCGGTAGAATGATTTGCGAGTAGGATTTCTACTTCTCAAAAAAAATGCTACGCTCGGCTCATTGTGGACTCGCCAAGCCTGGCAACGTATTTTTGTCTGTGCTTCAAGTGTTCATGTTACCTGCATTTCCCCTATGTGGCATGTTGCTGTCTAGCGCCAGGAGGAAAATTGCCTGGAAACTGATTACATTTTCCATTTCGAACTTTTTCTGCCACCGTACACAGGAAGGACAGTTCATCGCGTACGGAACGGATCCGGAACACATTGAACCACTGGACAGGCCAAGCTACAACCAAGTCTATGCTGATTGCACCACCGCGTTCACGATATTGATCGGTATCTTCTTCCCATCGGTAACAGGTGAGTGATTTTGTTCTGTGCAGCGCGAATGACGTTGATTGGACAATTAGATGATGGACGTATTATTGACATCCAATTGCTATGATATGGTGATTTATGCAGAACTGGAAGTAGATGTTGAAGCTTGATTTCAAAGTGATAATACAATTCTTGGATGATTTTTTGTGACTCATGACCAAATGAACGAAATGCGTTCAATTCAGCATAATCATCATCATCATCTTCAAAAGTAAACCAAGAAAAATCTTGCATATTCTGGTACTTGGAACAATATGTTATATAACACAGACTTGAACAAAATTTTAAAATTTTTGACTAAGATGTTTTTGCCGTTTATTCAAAACTCCAGACAGAGTAAATCCTTCAAGAAAATCAACACCCTGCTACTTAAAAAAAAAAAAACAAATAATTTGGACATGGACAAAATAACGACATCAGACTCCGGAAGAAATTTCAATAAAGGGTGTACCGTTTAAAATCCGCACACACAAAATTCATTCTCAAAATTCGAGTTTTTATCCGATTATCACCAAATTTTCAGGAAGTAAAAAGAAACAATTATAGTTAGTTTTGGCATCATTCATTTAATTTATTTCGCCTTTATATCCGAATGTGCGAACCTTGGCCTTAACTCCAGCCATAAGGTTCTGCACGACTTCAGAGTCGACAGTTTTTTGCATATCAACCCATGCTTTCTTCATTTTATCTACATTCTTCACCACTTTAGGTCGGTTAGAAGGTGCTTCTTCATAATGGCCCAGTATTTTTTCTATTGGGCGCAGTTCCGGAGTGTTTGGAGGGTTCAGATCTTTCTGCACGAAATCGAAATCATTCGCCTTATACCATTCTAGCACGTCGTTCGTGCAATGGCATTATGCCAAATCCTGCCAGAAGATCGTCGGACCGTCGTGAGTCTTTAGGAAAGGGAGAAGCCGATTTTGTAGACACTCTTCCAAATACACCTGTCCATCCATGGTGCTTGCGGTAACTTAAGGTGTACTCCGCTTTCCGCAAGTACAAATCGCTTGCCAAATTAAGAACTCCTCGGCGGACTTTGACATCTTGTGGGTCCGGATAATATCATCATACTTACCCTTGGCAGTCACATACAGGTTTCCTGGAATCTGGATGAAGTCGGCCTTCACATATGTCTCGTCATCCATTACGCAGCAGTGTTGACTTCTGGTCGTACAACTTCCGGACACGGCTTTTTGCGACAGTATTCTGTTTCTAGGCACGGTTTGAGAACTTCTGAACCTTAAACGTACGTAGTCCAGCTCGAGTTTTGGTATTCTGCACGAAAGGCTTGATCACATGAAACTTTTTAGTCACATCTCGAACTGAGGCGTTCGGTTTCCGTTCAAAGGCCCCAACCATGCGTTTGTGATCGTTCTCGTTGACCTGACGACTTTCTTATCCGGATCTTCGCTTCCGATCCACAGTCAGATGTTCTTCGAACCGTTTTATGATACCAAACACCGTGGAATTCGCGATTCCCAACTTTTCCCGATAGCACGATACGACAGATCCTTATTCTCAAAATACTCGTGCAAAACATTATCGCACACGCACTGTTCTTTCGTCGCCATTTTGAAAACTTTTTCGCACCTAATGAAATCAACTTACAAACAATACACATTAAATTATATCTACGCAAAATTTCAAGTAATTTCACCCAACGGATCAAAAGTTAGAGCAACTTGAGTGTGGGCGGATTTTTAATGGTACACCCAGGCATGGAAAATCATTTGCATTCAATTCAGTTCAGATCTGACTCCGCGATGCTCAGCACAAGACCAAATAATGTGATCTGCGTCCTGGTAGCCTTGTCCACATTCACAGAGATTACTGTCCCCCAGCCCAACACGGAACAAGTGAGCGCTTAGTGAATAGTGATTGGACATGAGGCGAGACATCACACGAATGAAGTCTCGACCCACCTCCAAACCTTTGAACCAAGGACACTTCGACACCTTAGGGATAATTGAATACAACCATCGTCCCAAACTCCCTTCACTCCACTTATTCTGCCAGCTGACGAGTGACTGTTGACGATAAATGAAGAAAAATTCATCGTAGGCGATTTGTCTATCGTAAATATCGCCTTCCATAGCGCCCACCTTAGCAAGTGAGTCAGCCATCTCATTGCCCGGAATCGAGCAATGAGATGGGACCCATGCAAAGGTGATGACAAAAGATCTTAAAGATAAAGCACTTAAAAGCTCTCGTATTTTCATGAGAAAATACGAGGAGTGCTTTACCGGCCTCATAGAGCGAATAGCCTCGACAGAACTGAGACTATCCGTAAAAATAAAATAATGATCTGGTGCAAGTGAGGCGATCGTTTCTAGCGTATAATGTATTGCCGCCAGTTCAGCAACATATACGGAACAAGGAGCATGAAGCATTCGAGAGGCGCTATGAAATTCGTTATAAATACCAAAACCTGCGGACGACTCTATTAGTGATCCATCTGTGAAGAACGATCTTGCGGAATCAACTTGGCCAAACTTTGCAGCGTAAATTGACGGAACAATCATGGAACGATGATGTTCTGGGATCCCACGAATCTCCCGCGTCATAGATAAATCAAAACTAACTGAATTGCCGAAGTCGGAGAAGCATAAACGATGAGGATTATGCTGTGAAGGGCTGACATCCTGTGTTATGTACACGTAGTACAATGACATAAAACGAGTTTGAGGGTTGAGCTCAAGAAGCTTTTCAAAGTTTTCGATTACCAGTGGGTTCATAACTTCGCAACGGGTGAGGAGCCTGAGGGACAATTCCGAAAACCGATCCGATAGTGGCAACATGCCCGCCAACACTTCTAGACTCATCGTATGAGTCGAGTGCATGCATCCTAACGCGATACGAAGACAACGATACTGGATCCGTTCCAGTTTGATGATGTGAGTTTTAGCCGCCGACTGGAAACAAAAACTACCGTATTCTAAAACCGATAAAATCGTTGTCCGGTACAACGTTAGAAGATCTTGCGGATGGGCTCCCCACCACGTTCCGGTAATTGTTCGGAGAAAATTGATCCTTTGTTGGCATTTTCGTCTCAGATACTCAATGTGGGATCTCCAGGTGCATTTTGAATCGAACCAGACCCCAAGATATTTGAAAGACATGGAATGAGTGATCGGCTTACCCAAAAGTTGAAGCTTCGGTTGTGCTGGGCTATGCTTCCTAGAAAAAACGACCAACTCAGTTTTCTCCGTGGAGAATTCGATACCTAGCTGAATAGCCCAAGTAGACAAATTGTCTAAGGTATCCTGTAAGGGTCCTTGCAGGTCGACCCCTTTGGGCCCTGTCATAGACACTACGCCGTCATCTGCAAGTTGTCTCAACGTGCAGTTGTCACTTAGACAATTGTCAATTTCTCTGACATAGAAATTGTACAAAAGGGGGCTTAAACATGAGCCCTGGGGGAGACCCATGTAACTAAATCGAGAAGCGGTAGAGTTTCCATGAGAAAAGCTCATATGTTTCTCTGACAGCAATTTGTACAAAAAGTTATTTATTAATGGAGAAAGGCCACAAGCGTGGAGTTTGTCTGAAAGGACTTCAACGGATACTGAATCAAAAGCCCCCTTGATATCCAAGAATACTGAAGCCATTTGCTCTTTTTTAGCAAAAGCCAACTGGATTTCTGTGGAAAGCAACGCGAGACAGTCGTTCGTTCCCTTGCCCCTACGGAATCCAAATTGAGTATCTGAGAGTAGGTGGTTCGTCTCAACCCATTTGTCCAAGCGAAAAAGGATCATTTTCTCCAACAATTTTCGAATGCACGATAACATCGCGATGGGACGATACGAGTTATGATCTGAAGCGGGTTTTCCAGGCTTTTTAATGGCTATAACTCTCACTTGCCTCCAATCATCCGGAACAATATTGAGCTCCAGGAACTGACAAAACAAGTTCAACATGCGCCTCTTAGCGACGTCTGGGAGGTTCTTCAACAAGTTGAACTTGATTCTATCAGCCCCCGGAGCCGAATTGCCACACGAAAGGAGCGCGAGTGAGAGTTCCAGCATTGAAAAAGGCTGGCTGATCTCGTCTACAGAATTCGTCGTTTCGCGAGGAATCATCTGTGCCGGCACGGAATCAGGACATACTTTTCGCGCGAACTTGAGAATCCAACGATCTGAGTACTCCTCGCTCTCGTTGTTCGAAGACCGGTTACGCATCCTTCGCGCCGCGTTCCAAAGCGTATTCATCGACGTTTCGCGCGATAATCCGTCCACGAATTGCCGCCAGTATCCGCGTTTCTTGGCTTTGATGAGGCTCTTGAGTTCGCGTTCAAGAGCCGAGTACGCTTCGAAATACACGGGTGTTCCACGTTTCCGGAAAAGCTTAAACGCGTCGGACTTTTTACGATAAACCTCAGTGCATTGGTGGTCCCACCAAGGGGAAGGAGGTTTCCTACGCAAAGACGTTCCAGGAACCGGCCGAGTTTGAGCTCGAAGCGCGCTGTCCAAGATCAGATTGGAGAGGAAGTTATATTCCTCCAACGGTGGAAGCCCTTCTACCGACGACACGGCTTCCTCTATCACGGTCTTGAACGTTGTCCAATCGATATTACGGGTGAGGTCGTACGCGACGTTAACGGATTCCGACGGATTGAACCCACTGGCAATCGAAATTTTGATCGGCAAGTGATCACTACCGTGGGGATCCTGGATCACATTCCACGTGCAATCCAACGATAATGAGTTAGAGCAAAGTGTGAGGTCTAATTTACTTCCATTCGAAGATGGTCCAGCCAAACGTGTTACTTCTCCATTGTTAAGAATTGTCATATTGAAGTTATCACAGAGGTCATATATAAAAGTAGAACGGTTGTCATCATACAGTTCCCCCCAGCCTGTACCGTGGGAATTAAAATCTCCCATAATCAACCGTGGAGCAGGAAGTACCGAACAGATATCTGAAAGTTGTTTGCGATTAACAACGGCTCTAGGAGGAATATAAACAGAAGCAATACAAAGGCT